GAACTTCGGCCAAAAACGTGGAGCTCCCCCATTTTGACATTTTTCTGCCCCCCCCTTTTTTTTTTTTTTTTTTAAATCCCCCCCCCCCCCCCTCCAAAGCAGAACCAACACCTTCCCCCAAACCGTTTCGTTTTCTGTGGCTCAGCCTTTTCCCATGGGGAAAAAAAATCTCATTGAAAAATTCCTGTTCGCATGGGGAAACTCAAATCCAGTCTCATGCTTCAGGGCTTCATCTGGTTGCTTGTATGGTCAGGAAGATTTCCTCTCCCTCCACCTCCCGCCGTGCACAATGAGCCAGGTGCATCTCGGTTGTTGTTTTTTTCCAGCTTTCTCTGACGCAGCAGGGATCAGCCACAGCTGGAGATGAGACACCGGCGGGGTGGGCCAGAAAACCCTCTTTCTGGGTCCAACTGATCCCCAGATTTGGGGTCAGGAAGGACTTTCCTCCCACAAGTCGGATTAGCAGGGACATTGTGGGGTTGTGGGTTTTTTGCCTTCTGCTGCAGCACAGGGCGTGGATCACCCGCTGGGAGCCCGGGGGCACCGATCGCCCGCTGGGATCCTCGGGGCGCATCTCACCTGCCGCGGTGCGGTGATCGAATGGAGTCTTCTGGCCTCGCAGGTCGTCAAACAATCCTGCCCCTCTCCCGTGGCCGGGGCTCGGCTGGCAGTGGAGCGGCACGTCCCTGCAGGGGCCGCCGGCCGCCGAGTCCGGTGCAGGGTGGGAGTGGGGATGGGGGGGAGACTTGCAGCGGGTCCCCCTCTCCCCATCCCCACGCCTAGACGTAGGCGTTCTTGCCGTATTGGCCGACGCTGCTGGCGTCGGAGCCTCTCCGGGGGCGCTTGGGGCCGGCCTTGGGTGCACTGTAGGGGTAGCTGAAGCTGGCGGGACACAAGGGGAGGGACGGGGTCACGCAAGGCCGAGGAGCCGGGGGGGGGGAGCCCCCCCCCCTCCCCCCCGGCAAAGGGGGCAAAGCCCCCCCCCCCCCCACCATTACCTCTTCTCCCACGAGGGGTGGGCGCAGCAGGAGCCCAAGAGGCAGCCACCCCCAACGATGGCCAGCAGGGATCCGCTCCAGCCCAGGTACAGCGCCGGGCCGATCTCGTACCTGCGGGGACGGAGAGACGGGGGTCAGGGCCGGGTGCCTCCCGCGCGGCGGGGACGGGATCCCGCCCCCCTCCGCCTCCCAGCCCGCCGGACTCACTTGGTGCCGGGGAAGAGGGGGTCGAAGAAGTCCCGGGTGATGTTGAAGGCGTACCAGGAGAGCGCCACCATCCCGCACAGCCCTGGGGGGGGATAGGAGACAGCATGAGTGCCTTGGGGGGCAGGCCCACACCCCCCCCCCCCCCCCCCCCCCCCCGGGGGTGCACAGCGCTGGGGCAATTCCCTGCCGCCCAGGGCCCATAGGGGGCAGATTGGAGGCATGGCCAAGGCACCCCACGCCGTGGCTATTCCCTGCCCCCCGGGGCCCATAGGGGGCCTGGCAGGCTCTCACCCGCCAGGATGAACATGCAGCCCCCGGCGGCCGCCATCTTGCCCTTGGCCGCGGGGTTCCCGTCCGCCACCTTGGTGCACTTCATCCCCACCGCGCCGCAGAGGATGGCCAGGACGCCGAGCAGCAGGGCCGTGATCATCAGGGCCCGGCAGGCCTGCAGGTAGCCTGGAGAGAGGACACAGATGGGAGGGATCCAACCGGGAGCTGGAGGAGGGTCCAGAGCTCCCGGCTCCATGGGGCACGGCCCAGCTGGGTGGGCGAACACTTGGGGGTCAGCGGGGCCAGGCTGGGGTGCTCCGTAAGAGCTAGATGTGATGGTGCCTCAGTTTCCCCCATCTACCATGGGGCTCATTCCCTCCCCCACTACCTGACAGGGTCAATACAATCAAGACGGGGAGGCGCTGGGGTACGTCTGTGCCTGGATTGACGCATATCTACGCCACAGTCCAAAAACCCGCCCGCCACCCCGATCCCTGCGGCCAAGGGAAGAGAGGGAGAGTGGGCCACGTGATCCAGGGGCCGGTTAGGGGGCTTAATGTGAACATGATCCGCCTCGCCAGTGGTCTCCGCTGAGAGCGGGGGGGCCCCCGCTGGGCTGGGCACTGCCCAGTTCCCCTGACTGAGAGCGGGGCCCTGGGGTGCTGGGTAGACCTGAACCCAGATCAGGGCCACAAACGTGATGCGGAGTGTGGGGGTAACCCCAGAGCCGCGGGCACCGCCCGCCTCAGCAGGGACCCAACTGGGGACGATTCGCTCCATGAGCCGCGGCCAACAGAGCGGTTTGCTGGGCCGGGAAGCAGTAGTAGGTTGTTGTAATCGTTGGGACGGGCCACTGGGGGGAGCTGTGATCTCACCCCCCTCCAGCAGCAAATGGACTGAGATTCACTGAGGCAGTAGGTGACAACCTGACCCACAGCCCCGCCCCCATCCCCGGCTCTAACCCACTAGCCCCCACTCCCCTCCCAGAGCTGGGGAGAGAACCCAGGAGTCCTGGCTCCCAGCCCCCCCTGCTCTAACCCACCAGCCCCCACTCCCCACCCAGAGCCACGAAGAGAACCCAGACGTCCTGGCTCCCAGACCCCCCTTCTCTAAGCAACTCTAAACCCACTTCCCTCCCAGAGTCTGTTCTCTCTCTCCAACACACACACACATCACTGCTTGTTTCTGAGGGAGTGGGGGCTGGTGGGTTAGGGGGGGGGGCTGGGAGCCAGGACTCCTGGGTTCTCTCCCTAGCTCTGGGAGGGGAGCGGGGGCTGGTGGGTTAGAGCCGGGGACTGGGAGGCCGGAATGGTGGGTGAGAGACGGGTGGGGTGAGAGCCAGGACACCTGGGTTCTCTCCCAGCTGTGGGGGGGGGGGCGCTGTTTGAACACAAAATCTCATTCTAACCACCCTAACGACATCCTCCAACCCTCCGCCCCTCGGCTCAGGTTCCGGGCTCCTGGCAGCGGGTCAGGACATGGGCTGCCCCACGGGCAGTGCCTGGGCCATGCTCCCAGCGTTTGCCCTGGCGCCGGGCCTGAGCAGGGCGGTGGCCGTAAACAGGGGCTGCCCGCCTGGCTGGGGAGCGGGGAGCCGGTTAAGGACCGGCCTCGGGGCGGGGACGGGGGTCCCGGCTCTCCAGGGGGCTCGTTCCCGGAGCGCACGGGGCAGGTCCCGGTTCTCCAGGGGGCTCCGCGCACGGGGCGGGGGGAGGTCCCGGCTCTCCAGGGGGCTCCGTGCC